GTGCACACAGCAGCACACACACTTACTAGCATACACGGAAGTGCACCCCCTACATTGGTCAGCAGCCCACAGGAGAGGCATGCATGGAGTGCTGAACCCAGACCCCGTCCAGAGAAAAGGAACAGAGACACACTTTGCACAGTGCCTTTTGTGGGAAAGGACTCCCAGCACTGCAGGCACCACCACATCCCCATGCACAAGAATCCTATCCCCTCGGAGACCACACTGGTCCAACACCACACACACACAAGTCCCACCCCTCAGAAGCTGCCCCACACCCTCACGCCTGGGTCCAGCCAGCACTGTACACACACGAACTCTGGCTCAGACCCGGCCAGCCCTCACCCAGCGTGTCGCCCAGGAGGAACTTGTGTCCTGAATGCGGGTAGAAATGGCACCAAGGTGAAATGAAGATAAGGGGACACAAACCCTCACCTCCAGCCTGCGGTCTCGGAAGGCTGCGGGTCTGGAAGGACTTCCTGTGTTCTGACAAAGCGTGGACACTCCCACCCCTGGCCACAGCAGGAGTTGCTTGGACCTCATTCCCCACAAGGAACCTCTGTGACGTGAGGGAGCTGGCCAGTATAGGTGCTCTGGAGACCCCACATTCCTCCTGCCTGCCTGTAGCATCTCAGGGTGAGGTGAACACAGGGAGGAGGGCAGGTCTGCACTGGACATGAGATGTGGGCAGGACGCAAGGCAAACACGAACCCAGCTTCTACCATCTACAGCCTCAGGTAGAACTGCTGCCCACACCATGCTCTGCGTCATACATGGGGCAGGGCAGGGCCGGGGCCAGGGGCCAATATCCTGGCCCCACAAGAAAACGAGCTGGGACGACCTCACAGGGGTGGGGGACAGAACCCTGGGTCCCTTGAGAAGACACACTGGTACGACCTCACTGGGTGGGGGACAGGACCCTGGGTCCCCCGTGAAGACACACTGGGACGACCTCAGGTATGTGTGCAGGGGCAGTACACTGAAAATAGCGGGCTCACCTTTGTCGACCACGTCCCAGACTTCCACCTTCACGATGTCATCTGTGGCTGAAAAGGCAAAGTGGAGTGAACTTCTCGTTTGGGAAAGAGGCTCCTGGGGGCCACCACCCTTGAAATATATACTCCCGAGGGGTTCCTGGCACCTCTTCACACCCTGGTGCTTGGGATGCTTCCCAAGCCCCGCTGAGATGCCCAGTCTGGAGCCCACTCCTTTGGCCCCTGCAGTGGCCCCTCAAATCCCTGCTCTGCACCACATGCTGGGGAGGGCAAGCTCAGGGCTGGGGAGGGCAGGTCAAGGACTAGGGGAGCAGGCCTAGGGCTGGAGAGGAGAGGCAGGTCAAGGACTGGGGAGGGCAGGCCTAGGATTGGGGAGGGGGCAGGCCCAGGGCTAGGGGGGCAGGTCAAGGAGTCGGGGGGTCAGCCCAGGGCTGGGGTAGTGCTCACTTCGAGCAGGCAGCAGGATGCAGCCTTCATCAGGCCCCCCCCACACGCCCCCATGTGTAGTTTTCACTCAGTGATGTGAACTCAGGGGACACATTAAGGGGCCATGTAAAGAAAGGATGACGAGAGCCAAGGCCACCTAAGGAAGCACCCACACATCTGGCCCCACCCCTAACATCACCTCCTGACCCGACCCCCCGGCCCCTGTCCCCCAACCTCTCTGACCTCTTGCCTTTATTCTTGTAGTTCAGTGGATGGTGGTGACCTGGACCTCAGAAGCACACCCAACCTGTCCCCCAAATTCCCTGGCTGTGTCCCTCTCGCCCTCTTCTTGTCCTTACTCTTATAGTTCCAGTGGATGCTGGTGACCTGGATCTCCTGCGTGGGGATGTATTCCTCCAGGAACTTCTTCCCTTGCAGCCGATGCCACAGGGCCGTCTTGCCCGTGTTCCTGTCCCCACGGATTACGATCTTCACTGGGCAGAGACCAGGAAGAGAAATAGGCCGCTGTCACAACACTGTCTTCCTGCACCAGCGGGCCTATTTGGGGCACAGTTGTGCCAGGGTCACTGCCGGCCCACATGCCCCAGCGCCTGGACGTCCTGAGCAGACAGCAGGCACTGAGAACCTGACCTCCCAGAGTCCAGAACCAGTGCCCAACCACAGCCCCTCAGCCTGCACTGGTGGAAGCCAGGCCTGGGGTCCTCACCAAGGTCCACAGGCATCCTGTCTGAGATGTCCCTGACACAGGCCTGGGTTTGGAGTGGTCCGTGTCCTCCCAGGCTAGTGCTTTCAAATGCTGGCAGGGTCACTCACAGTGGACAGATGTCAGTGGAGCTTCCAGACCAGAGAGAGACTAAGAAGCAAGCCTGGTGACCCACTACCACCCGACAGCACCCAGGTGGTACAGGAGCAGGGCATCGCAGTGCGGGATGTGGATGCCCATGCTCTCTCCAGCACACATGCCCCAGTGTGGAGTCACCGGCTTGGACGCTGGGAGTCTGAACGCTAAGCTGGTCTGCCATCACCAGTCTGCAATCCCCTCCCTGCACCAGGCCCCAGGGTTCTGGCTGCAGGATGTCTGTGGAGACACCCCCTGATCCACCACCAGCCAGAGGTCTGTCTCTCCTTCGCCAGCCCTTCCCTGTTACTTATTGGTCACAGGGCACCAGTCAGGGCCTTGGATGATGTCTGAGGTACATGGGGTCAGCAAGCACCCTTGCACCCATCTCAGAGCACTGTTCTGCTGAGATTTAAGAGAAGCCAGAAGTTTCTGGTGCTGTCCACTGATGGACACAAACTGCTCCTTCAACCTGTGAAGTCTGAGCCCACCCTGCCTCCAGAGGGCAAAGGCCAAATATCAAATTAAATATTAATCTAAATGATAAACCAAATGTTTTATCCAGATGTGAGGGAGGCACAAATACAGGCTGGAATTCCTCCTGGGACAGATCCCAGGGGTCAAGCCAAGGCAGACCTCAAGGTGTCACAATTCTTGGACTGTATTTGGTAACCCCTCTTCCGAGTGAAGCATACAGCGGCCAACAGAATAAGCCTGGCATCATTAGCAGAGAATTCTCTGTGATCTGCTCCCTGGAGATTCTCAATAAAGTTAGAGGGAAGCCTGGTTCTGGGCTTCAGTCTTTGAGTTGTTCACCCTGCCTTCTCTCCGTCCTTGGCGTCCCCATCTCTCTCTTTTTCCTTGGCCGACAACAGCCCTGTGTGGACAGGTTCTACGGGCCTTGTGAGGACAGGTGTCTGCCCTTTGGGTGTTTGACAGGACATGCTGCAGAAATCTTCGGGGATTCCCACCTGCTGGTCCCACTTGCTCACGGTCACAGGAGTCTGTTTTGGAAAGTTTCCTTTTTTAAATGGCTTAATTGAGACATGAAATGTCTGTTTTGTTGCGGCCTGTGTACCTTTCTGCACGTTTCCCAAAGCTGTAAATCACACAGCAGGAGACTGCCCATTTTCTCCCCACAGAGGAGCCTGTGGACTTGAATGGCGTATCTTTGGGTGGCCAGTGCAATGCTTACCACTAGGCCACTAGAGCTCCCTCTCCCAGACTTAACTGGTGTGAACTCAGTGAAAAGATCCCAACTTCCTGTTCTCTGCAGCATCCACAATGACACGCCTGCCGTGTCCTCTCCGCAGGCTCACCACCTGTCCACTGTCTGCTTTCTCTGCTGCCTGCTCCTGGCTTTTGGTGTCACCTACGCTCCACCCTTCCAGCAATGCTTGACCTTGTCTCCTTCCTTCCTGCATTCCTCAGCCATCAGCTTCTCCCCAGGGTTGTTTGGTCAGGACCCCAAAGTTTTAATGTGACTTTTTTTGCAACTTAACTCTGGTCAGGTGTAGTTGAGTATGACTCAGTGACCCTGTCCACAGATCTGAGCCTTGCCCTGTCGTGACCCGTCCACTCCGACCCCTGTGAGTCTCAAGCCCATTGTAGCTGTCATTGTGTCGGCCGGCCACTGTGTCGGCCCATCCTGTTGAAGGTCTCCCTCTCTTCCATGGACTCCACCTTCCCCAGCACGATATCTCTCTCCAAGGACCAAAGAAGGTGAGAAGTTCCACTCTCCTCACCTCTGAAGAGCACTCTGGCCACACTCTTTCAGAACAGATCTGTTTGTTCTTTTGACTTTTCAAGGCATATTCAATGCCCTTCACCAACACAAGTGAAAGGCTTTGGCTCTTTTTCTGTCCTCCTTATTCACAGTAACTTTGAGATGCACAGGACAGGTGGACTCTGGTCTGGAAGTGAACTGTTGCTCTTCAGCACTTCAGGGAGGTCCCTGACATCAGATTTGATGGTTCCATCTCCTGACTGCTGTTCCTGTGGGTGCTGGCGATGGATCCAAGTAAAATGAAACCACTGACGTCAACCTTTCCTCCATCTATCATGATCTGACTTACTGACTTACTGATGAGAATTTTTATTTTCTTAATGTTGAGATGTAACCTTTGAAGACTGTAGTCTTTGATCTCTGAAAACCCACTGGAGGGTCAGCTATGAGTCACTTCTGCCTCATGGTAATGAATTCGGGTTTCATTGTTTTTTAAGGTTTTTTAAAAAAAAACTACCAGTGTGTCAAGGAAGAACTCAAAAGAGAAACCATGTATTTCTTAAGATTGAAATGAAATGAAAGCATGGCACGCCAAACCCTAGGGGTCCCCACAGGCTGCACTCCCTGCCTGAGAAGTCTAACTCAGCAACTCAAAGCTAAGCAGAACCAAAACAGGAAAGGCCCAAGAAGAGCCCAAGCCAGACAAGGAGACAATCTAGACAGCCAGAAGTCGATCCTTTGAGAGGATCAGTAACATTCAAACCTTTAGCCAGACTGACACTCTTAAGGTGCGTTAAGAGGCCGAGAACTCAACGAAAGAGCACACACCAGGCCCTCTGAAGGCAGGATGTCTGTACAGGTGATTAGAAGTACCTGACGAACCAGGTGACTGGGATGAAATGGACAGATTCTTAGCAGGCAACCAACCTAACTGGGCTCCAGAAGGGATAGAAAATCTCAATATGTATGTCGCAAGCAGAGAGATGGAATTAGTGGTCAGGGACATCCCAGTAACACAGTCCTGGACCATCAGAGGCGAGAAGACATGGGCACAGCTGCCATCTTCCAGAACACAATGAAGACAGGATACTGTTGTTATGTGCCATCGAGTCACTTGAGACTCACAGCGACCCTGTGTACAAGAGCCCTAAACCCTGCTCTAAGCCAACGTCATCGTCTCTGAAAACCTACTCCCATTACCTCAGTCACTGAGTCAATCATCTCATAGAGGGTCTTCCTCTCTTGTCCCTCCTTGTAACATGCCCAAAGTATGTCAGACAGACCTTCAGAATCCTTGCCTCCAAGGAGCAGCCTGGTTTCACCCTCTCCAGGTTGAACCTGTTTGTTGTCCTAGCAGTCCATGGTATATTCAACACTGTTCTCCATAACCAGAGCTCAAAGGCATCAAGTATCTATGATCCTTAGTCATTGTCCAGCTTTCTGATGCACAGAAAGTAATTGTAAAGATTATGGCCTGGATTAGATGCACCCTAGTCCCTAGACTGGCATCGTTGCTCTTCAGTACTTTGGAGAGGTCCCTGACAGCAGATTTTCCCATTGCAACTTATCTTTCGATTTCTTGACTGCTGGTACCAAGACTGTTGATTGTAGAGCTAAGCAAACTGAAGCTGTCAACAATCTCAATCTCTTCATAGTCTATCATGATGTTCAAGTGGTAAGAATCTTTGTCTTCTTGATGTTGAGCTTCAATTCATATTGAAGGTTGCAGTCCTTGACCTTTTTCAGCAAATGTCTCAGGTCAGTTTCAGCAAGCAGGGTTGTCTCATCTACATAACGCTGGTTGTTGACGAGTCTACCTCCAATTCCGATGCCACATTCCTCCTCATGGAGCCCAGCCTCCTGGAAGATCTATTCTGCGTACAGATTGAAAAAGTATGGAGACAAGAAGCATCCCTGACGCACTTCTCTCCTGATTTTGAACCATGCAGTGTTTCCTTGCTCTGTTTTGACGACTGTCTCCTGTCATCCTGGTCGGATGTGCAGTCAAGTGTAATTCTCAGAAACAAATATATCCTGATACCACAATCAGACCTAAGACATAAGACACCATAATCAGACATAAACACCATAATAAAACTATAAGCCAATACTCCTTATGTTGTTGTTATGTGCCGTCGAGTCGCTTGCGACTCATAGCGACCCTATGTACAACAGCCCTAAACTCTGCTCTGTCCTGTGCCAATCGCAGTGTCTCTGATACTCCCATCCCGATTACCCCAGTCAGAGTCAATCCACCTCATAAAGGGCCTTCCCCTTCTGCGCTGTCCCTCCACCCTACCCAGCATGATGTCCCCCTCCAAAGACCTGTCCCTCCTTGCAACATGTCCAAAGTATGTTAGATGGAGCCTTAGAATCCTTGCCTCCAAGAAGCAACCCGGTTTGACCCTTTCCAGGATGAATCTGTTTGTTTTCCTAGCAGTCCATGGAACCCTCAATACTCTTCTCCAGCACTACAGCTCAAAGGCATCAATTCTCCTTCTATCCTCCTTAGTCATTGTCCAACAACTCTCTGATGCATAACAAGTGATTGTGAAGACCATGGCCTGTATCAGATGCACCTTAGTCTCCAAAGAGACACCATTGCTCTTCAGTACTTTGGAGAGGTCCCTAACAGCAGACTTTCCCATGGCAATGCACCTTTTAATTTCCTGGCTGCTGGTGCCA